CACCAAATAAATAATACTCACTTCACACCAAACAAACCAACTAATAATAATAATCTCTCTCACACACACAAAACCCACATAATAATAATACACTCTCATCACCACAAAAACACCACCAAAAACAATCTCTCCAACAAAAACACACATAATAATAATAATCTATCTCACACCAACAAAACACCACACTAATATAATAATCACTCTCACACAACACCAAAAACACACACAACAACTCTCCACAACAAAACAAATACATCAAATCTCACTCACACAAACACAACCCAAACCCACTAAAATAATAAACTACTCTCAACCAAACCACCACACCTAATAAAAAAATCTCTCTCAACACACAACCAACACCTAATAATAATAATCTCTCACACCAACAAAACCCACCACATAATAATAAAATCACACTACACCACAAAACACAACCACCAAAAACCAATAAACATCTACTCTCAACACAAAAACCAACACACATAATACAACACTCACTCTCACAAAACACCAAATAAATAATAATATCTCTCTCACAACAAAACCCAATAATAATAATAATCTACTCACACAACAAAACCACACCATAATAATAATAATCTCTCTCACCCAAAAACCACCACCAACTAATAAATCAATAATCTCTCATCACACACAAAACCACACCACTATAATACAAATCTCATCTCACACACAAAACCCCCACACCATAATAATAATACTCTCTCTCACAACAAACACACCCAACATAATAATAATAATCTCTCTCTCACAACCAAAAACACACCATAATAATAATAATCTCTCTCACACACACCAAAACCCACCACACACCACACAATAATAATAATCTCTCTCACACACAAAAACCACCACACATAATAATAATAATTCTCTCACACACAAAAACCACCCACATAATAATAATAATCTCTCTCACACAACCAAAACCACACTAATAAAATCTCTCAACACAAAAACCCCACACTAATAATAATAATCTACTCTCACACACAACAACAAAACACTCATCTCACACAACCCACCCAATAATAATATAATCTCTCTCACACACACAAAACAACCACCTAATAATAATAATCTCTCTCTCACAACCACAAAACCCACCACATAATAATCATACATCTCCACAACCACAAACCACACCATAATAATAATAATCTCTCTCACACAACCACCACAACAAAAACACCACCACACCAAACCACCAACATAATAAATACTCACTCACACACCCAAAAACACAACACTAATAATAATAATCTCTCACACCACACCCAACAACCCACCACCTAATAAAATAATCTCTCATCAACACACACAAAACCACCCCACCAACATAATAATAATAACTCTCTCACACAACAAAACCACCACCACCTACTAATAATAACTCTCTCACACCAACAACAACCAAACAACACCCCACCATAATCAATAATCTCCTCACACACAAAAACACACCCCCCACTAAATAATAATCTCTCACACAACCCAACACCAACAACCCACCACCACACAATAATAAAATCTCTCCAACCACACAAAACCACCCACAACTAATAAAATCTCTCACCACACACAACCACACACCACCCCACCACAATAATACTCCTTCTCACACCACCAAAACCCACCACAATAATACATAATCTCTCTCAACACAAAACCACCCACACCAATACAATAAACTCTCTCACACACCACAAAACACCCCCAAACTAATAATATATCTCTCTCACACACACAAACACCCCACCACCAATAATAATAATCTCACTACACACACAAACCACCACCCACTAATAATAATAATCTCTCTCACAACACAAAAACCCCACACCAACCCAAAATAATAATAACTCTCTCATCAACTCACACACAAACCCACACCATAATATACATACTCTCTCTCACACCACAAAACCACACCCATACATAATAATATCATCTCTCACACACACCCAAAAACCACCACCCCACTAATAATAATAATCTCACTCACACAACCACACAAAACCACAACACCACCACCAATAATAATAATAATCTCTCTCACAACCAAAACCACCCACCTAATAATAATAATCTCTCTCCACACCACCACAAAACCCTCACCACTAAAACCAAATAATATCATCTACACACCACAAAACCACCACACTATAATAATAATCTCTCTCACACACAAAACCCAACACCTAATAATAATCATATCTCTCTCACACACAAAACCAACCACCCATAATAATAATAATCTCTCTCACACCACACAAAACCCACCACCCACTAATAATAATAATCTCTCCTCACACACCAAAACCACCCACCCACTAATAATAATCTCTCTCACAAACACAAAACCACACCCACTAATAATAATAATCTCTCTCACACACACACAAAACCACCCACCACTAATAATAATAATCTCTCTCACAACCACACAAAACCACCCACACTAATAATAATAATCTCTCTCACAACACACAAAACCCCCACCCACCCTAATAATAATAATCTCTCTCAACACACACAAAACCACCACCACCCTAATCAATAATAATCTCTCTACACCACCACCCAAAACCACCACACCTAATAATAATAATCTCTCTCACCACACACAAAACCCACCCCCCACACTAATAATAAATATCTCTCTCACACACCAAAAACCACCCACCTAATAATAATAATCTCTCTCTCACCCACACAAAAACACCACACCCCCTAAATAATAATCTCTCTCTCACACACACACAAACACACCCACCCACCTAATAATAATAATCTCTCTCACACCACACAAAACAACCCCACCACTCCATAATAATACTAATACTCACACACACAAACACCCACCCCACCCACTAATAAATATAATACTCCTCTCACACACCAAAACACCACCCACAAATAATAATAATCTCCTCTCAACACACAAAACCACCCACCATAATAATAATAATCTCTCTCAACACAAAACACACTAAAATAATAATCTCTCCACCCACCAAAAACCCAACTATAATAATAATCTCTCTCACACAACAAAACCCACAACTAATAATAATAATCTCTCTCCTCAACAAAACCACCACAATAATAATAATAATCTCTCTCACCACCACAAAAACCCACCACCTAATAATAATAATATCTCTCTCACACACACAAAACACACCACTAATAATAATAATCTCTCTCACCACACAACAAAATCCAACCCACACCATAATAATATACTAATCTCTCTCACACAAAAAAACCCACCCCACCTAATAATAATAATCTCTCTCTCAACCACACAAAACCACACTAACTCACAACCTACCATAATAATAATATCTCTCACACACACAAAACCACCCAACCTAATAATAAATATCTCTCTCTCACAACCAAAACACCACCACTAATAATAATAATCTCTCTCACACACACAAAACCACCACCACTAATAATAATAATCTCTCTCTCACACACACAAACCACCACCACTAAATTATAATACATCTCTCTCACACACACCAAACCACCACACCCTATTAATAATAATCTTCTCTCACACAACAAAACACACCCACCACTAATAATAATAATCTCTATCACACACACACACAAACCACCACCCTAATAATAATAATCTCTCTCTCACACACACAAAACCCCCACCCACCTAATAATAATAATCATTCTCTCACACACACAAAACCACCCACACCTAATAATAATAATCTCTCTCTCACACACACAAAACCACCACCACCTAATAATAATAATCTCTCTCACACACACAAAACCACACCTAATAATAATAATCTCTCTTCACACACACAAAAACACACTAATAATAATAATCTCTCTCACCACAACCAAAACCCACCACCTAATAATAATAATCTCTTCTTCAACAACCCCACACAAAACCTCACACACCCACTAATAATAATAAATCTCTATCACACACAACAAAACCACCACCCACCTAAATAATAAATAATCTCTCTCATCACCACACAAAAACCACACCACCTAATAATAATAATCTCTCTCACCACCACAAAACCACCCACCACCCCTAATAATAATAATCATCTCTCACACACACAAAACCACCACCCATAATAATAATAATCTCTCTCACACAACACACAAACACCAAACCCCACATAATAATAATAATAATCTCTCTCACACCACACCACACCAATAACTACCACAAACCACCACCCAATAATAATAATATCTCTCATACTCAACCACACAAAACCACCCCCACACTAATAATAATTATCTCTACTCACACCAACAAACACCCACCAACCCACACCACCAATAAATAATAACTCTCTCACCCACACAAACCAACCCCCACAATAATAATAAGCTCTCTAACACACCACAAACACACCACACCTAATAATAATAATCTCTCTCACAACCACCAAAACCACCACCACCTAATAATAATAAATACTCTCTCACCACACCAACAAACACCCACACTAATAATAATAATCTCATCACACACACAAAACCACCACCACCTAATAATAATAAATCTCTCTCACAACACACAACACCCCCACCACCCAACCTAATATAATTAATTCTACTCATCAACACACCACAAACCCCACCACCCCCAACACTAATAATAATAATCTCTACACACACACAAAACACCACCCATAATAATAATAATCTTCTCTCACACAACAAAACCCACACCCAATCCCTATAATAATAAATGTGGAGCTGAGGCATTAGAAGAGGAGACCAGGAGGAGACCAGAGGAGACCAGGAGGAGCCAAGAGGAGCCCAGAAGGAGCCAAGAGGAGCCCAGGAGGAGCCATGAGGATACCAGGAGGAACCAAGAGGAGATCAGGAGGAGCCAAGAGGATATCAGGAGGAGCCAAGAGGAGACCAGAAGGAGACAAGAGGAAACCAGACGGAGACCAAGAGGAGCCATGAGGAGACCAGGAGGAGCCATGAGGAAACCAGGAGGAGCCAAGAGCAGACAAGAAGGAAGCAAGAGGAAACCAGGAGGAGCCAAGAGGAAACCAGGAGGAGCCAAGAGGAGACAAGGAGGAGACCAGGAGGAGCCAAGAGGAGACCAGGAGGAGACCAGAGGAGACCAGGAGGAGCCAAGAGGAGCCCAGGAGGAGCCAAGAGGAGCCCAGGAGGAGCCATGAGGATACCAGGAGGAACCAAGAGGAGATCAGGAGGAGCCAAGAGGAGATCAGGAGGAGCCAAGAGGAGACCAGAAGGAGACTAGAGGAGACCAGACGGAGACCAAGAGGAGCCATGAGGAGACCAGGAGGAGCCATGAGGAAACCAGGAGGAGCCAAGAGCAGACAAGAAGGAAGCAAGAGGAAACCAGGAGGAGCCCAGAGGGGACCAGGAGGAGACCAGGAGGAAGCAAGAGGAGACCAGGAGGAGCCAAGAGGAGACCAGGAGAAGCCAAGAGAAGCCAATACGAGACCAGGAGGAGACCAGAAGGAGACAAGGGGAGACCAGATGGAGACCAGGAGGAGCCAAGAGGAGACCAGAAGGAGACAAGAGGAGACCAGGAGGAGCCAAGACCCTAGTCCTCTCTGCACGCCACCCACATGAACCCAGTGAGCCCCAGGTCCTGCGCGACTGCACCAACAGCCATAATAATGAGATTCTTCATGAGAAACTCCTCGTCTCTGACTCAGAGGTTCAAAATGAAAGATTTAGGAATATTGAAACATTTCTAAGGAATGGATTTTGAACAAACTAATGAACAAGTCAAGATGTCACAAGAGGGATATGTGAAAAAGATTTTAGAAAGGTTTGAAATGCAAAACGAGAGAAACTCCTTCTGAACCAATTCCAAAATGTGATTATACAGAAAATGTGAAAATGTTAAAACAACCCCGACAACACAGAGAGGCAGTGGGAAGTGTAATTTACTGATCCACTTGCACCAGACCTGACGTCACTTATGTTGTCAGTAAACTTTCTCAACACTTTAGTGAATCAACTGTGGAACACTGGAATACAGTGAAACATGTGTTCAGGGATCTCAAAGGTACTACTGAACAAAGACTGTTAGTATTAGATAGCAATATGGCCTACGTGCAGGACTGTACAAGGACTCCATGTTATGACTATGATGTGACTGTCTCTTTGTGACACGTATGTCTTTCGATGTGTGACGTGACAATGACTATATAAACTGTGTACTGCCTTTATTCTGTCTGAGAGAAAGAAACAGAGTAAACCAGTGGAACTTGAGAGAAACTTAAATAAACTTCCAGAGTTTGGCGCACCATGATCCGTCTCTCTCTGCTTAAATCCTGACAGATTTGGTGGAGGATGTGCGGCTCAGTGTGTGCCATTCTCTGGATTGTTTTGAGGGAGTTTGCTCTGTTTCTTTTCCTCGGCGTGAGAGATCGGCATGCTGCGTCTGGGAGCGGAGATTCCAGCAGGCTGGAAGAGCTGTTCCTGGATGCTTCTTGTCGCTTCTGTCACTTTTGTTTTTTAAATTGAATATTCCGACGCGGAAAAGAGGTTGGCAGACCTCTCGGACAGTCCTTGGTACCTGTTTGACAAGAATAAGGTAAGCAGACACCTTTTTATATGTAAAGTCTGTATAATTGGATACTAGCTAAATTTTGGTCTGTTTTTGGGGTCTGTCAAACTCTCTAAATTGTATTTGAGAAGAAGTCTCGGGGTTAGAGTCCCTTTGAGAAGAAGTCTCGGGGTTAGAGTCCCTTTGAGAAGAAGTCTCGGGGTTAGAGTCCCTTTGAGAAGAAGTCTCGGGGTTAGAGTCCCTTTGAGAAAAAGTCTCGGGGTTAGAGTCCCTTTGAGAAGAAGCTTCAGGGTTAGAGTCCCTATGAGAAAACGTTTTTGGGGTTAGAGTCCTTTTGAGAAGAAGTCTCGGGGTTAGAGTCCCTTTGAGAAAACGTTTTCGGGGTTAGAGTCCCTTTGAGAAAAGATAGAGAAGGATCCTTAGTGAAACCATGGTGTAAAATTAAAAGCAATTTATAAAAAGGAAAACGTGTTAAAGAGGCCTTTGTTACAAAAGCTTTGAAATTGACGAATTTCAGGCTGATAAATGACAAAAGTACATAAGCAACAATATTTCAGTGATCACGGTTTAAATTACATACAGAAAAAGGGAGTTTTTGTTTTTGGAGTGAACAGAGTTCACCGGAGAATGCAGAGTTTTATCTAAAGTTGAGCTATGAGAGCTTTCGTGAGTTATTTACATTTTTTTGCCGAGTTATATCTACAGTTAAGCTATGAGAGGGTTGTATCCAACAGTTGTTTTTGTTTTTTTAGAAAGAGATTTTGAGTTTAAATTAGCTACCTCGATAAAATAGAAGCGTAAACGTTAAAGACAAGAGTGCCTTTTGTTACTAGTGTGGAAAGTGGCCATTTCTAGACTTGGATGACAAAAGTATAAACTACAAGTTATATTCGCAAAGTAATCTTGAAAGTTATTCTTCTTTCTGTTTCTGCATTTTTGCTAAAACACTACTTTCTGCCTGTGTGTGCCGCACTATCTTGCTGCCGTTGTCAGGGAAACGGCCCCCTCCTTTGCTGCTCTGGCTCTGAATCAGAGCAAAGCTACTGCTTTATGATTTCTGGCTTTTCATAGTTGTTATTCCGTTAAATTTGCGACATTTGCCATTGAACATTGTGTTAGATACAGTTAAACGTTTTTAAACACCATTAGTGAATAAGTTTTGAATTATTATGTTTTTTGAAACCCTAAGATTAGTGCTAAAAGCTGTGCAATTCTTTTTAGACCTAACATATTTCTAGATTCCATTCTTTTTAAATCTGCTGCTTATTTTTTGAGTCCATTATTGTATCTGATATTTCATAGCTGTTAGTGAGAATTTTTTCATGTATTTTTTATTTTAGTTACAAAAGCCGTATTTCAAACATTTAAATTAGAATCTGTGTTAAAAGTGATTATTGATCATAGACTTCGTCTAAAAAAGAAAGAGGGAAAATTAGGATTAGCTGTAAAAGTATTATTAAGTTAAACTACCCAATTCACCCATTGCAAGCGGTGATGTTTTTGTTTTGACTACACGCCTGACCTTGTTGCTCCTCCTGCTGATGCCACAGCAGAGGAGACTGGCTCTAAAATTTTCAAGATAATTAAACACACAGTACAAAAGTACATAATACATATTTTAAAGTTTGAAGGTTTAAGAGATTTGAGTCTTGTTTTTTATTAAGAGAGTTTCTGGTTTTAAAAGTTTCACATTAGTAAGATAATAAGTAATCTTTATTTACATAGCGCATAGTGGAAAAACCCAGAGCGCTCCAAAATTGTTTTGACTTTAGGGAGAAAAACAATCTCATTCGCATACTGATATCTGTTGTTTTTTAAATTGGCCGTCTCAAGGATTGTTTTTCAGACTCTGCCACACTGTACGAGAGGTCACTGCTGGACACTGGACACCAAAGCCCACCCAGCCACAGGTCACAGTACAAAGAGCAAAGGGAAATGCCACCTCCTTGCCCCTCCCCACGCCACTGCAGAGCTGAGTGGGTGTGAGAGAGACCGGGGCCATGAAAGTGGAGGTTTCTGGAGACGTGATGGGTGGAGGCCTCAGGTAGAGACCTGAATGAGAGTTGAGAGTGTGTCCAGTTGGGTTACATCACTACAGTGTGACCTTTGAGACCTACAGGTGGTTCGAGGAGTCTGGAGACACAACCCCAAAATCCACACACACACACACACACATTCATACACTCACACATTCACATTTACATATAGATACATGAAAAATCAGAACATGAGAAAAAAGCATTTTAAAAGTTTACTCCAATGTAAACAAATATTTTTAATTGTCTATCACTTGAATCTTTATTTGAATCAGTATTTTTTGAGTCCAGAAATGTTCATTTGAATTCTATATTGTCATGGACATAATTGATCTGTCCTGACACTTTTGATTTGTTGATTTTGTACTGTGTGAAGTAATTACATTGATTAGGATTAGATCTGATAAAAACACAAATTAGAGAAGTAAACTGCGCTTTCTTTTGTCTGAGGGACAGAAGCAACAGCATGAATAGAAATTGTGTTAAAGTAGAATCAAAGTGACTAACCATAGAGAGTAACTACTGCATAACAAGCTGTGTACAGGAACTGAGACACTGCACCATTGACCAGAAGTGCATCGCAAATGACCTGATGTGCTTCAAGTGAAAAGACTGTATCTGGAGATCCTGATGTGCATCTGGAGAGACCAGAACCATGGCTTGGGCCCTACTGATGTCCAAGATGACATCTCTCGAAATTATGACCTGACCTGATGACGACTGAGACTCACCCTCAGAGGCCCTGAGGACCTGAGGACCTGAGGACCTGAGGAACTTGGAGAGAAAAACTGGGGAGTGATGTTTATATTTTTGAAATCATACATTGATGAGTGCTAAATGAGAGAGATACTCATGATTCTTTCTTTTTTTTTTTTTTTTTTTTTTGTTTGTCCCTAGCTTCTGGACATCTGATGATCTATTGGACACAGCCATTTGCAGAACAAGAACCAGCCAATGAAAACGTCTATTGCCGATGCTATTGCTACAACCAGAACCTGTGACCAAATGCAATATACATGTTAAGTATTCAGACATCTGACAGACAAAAACTTTGACTTTTTTGTCTGGGAGACTGAGCAACAGTTAAAACTTTGAAAATGATAAAGTATGATTATTGTAGCGTTTTAGTAGATGTTAAATAGTAGTAAAAAAGTAGAATTTGACTTCCTTTGTTTTTCATAAACATTTCCACGTAAGAGTTAAAATAGTACCATACAATGTTATCCTTTTGATAGAGCAGCTATAATATTAGAATCAGAATCATGTTAGAGATATTAAAAGTGACAGAAGTCACAAATTAGGAATATGCCTTTGCTCAAGTTGCAGCGTGACTTTAGAGTCACAATAGTGTAGAAATAGAATTAGATAAATGCATCAACCATAGATGCTTTCAAAAATAGAGATTATTTGTAGCCAGTGCTAATATCAAATGGTAAAGGGACCATTTCACAAACATTTACTTCAGAAGTAAAGTTCATTACAGTTTTATTAGATACTTGCCAAATTCACTTGTGTTCACACATGAGTGAATGTTGACAATACAAAAAGTCCATATGAGTGTAGCCTAGATTAATGCCTAGATCAATGAGATAGATTACAACCAACAGAGATTCAAAAGCATTTTGATTGTATTTGGGTGTAGCCCACTGTCGATTCATCAGAACAGATTAGAGAATCAAACACCATTGTAGACCCCAACCCCAAACCTGCTAAAATAGATTAGCTCTTGTAAGGATAATACTAATTTGATTAATGATGTTCATTCATCCCAAACTGCCTGACAATAATATCTTTAGATAATAAAAAGTAACAAATCACTGACCACTATAGAAGTGTAAATGTTGACCATTTGCCTTTCTGTGTTCACAGTTTTATTCCTGAGAATGTAGAGTAGACATAGAGCAAAATTCCACTAACAATAAGCCACTGATAATGAAAGTATAATACCACAGAGAGATTTATTAGATTAAAATGTATGTTTAAGAATATGGCTCAATAGAAGCAAATATGCAAACATA